GCTTGGAGAATTTTGAGCATTACTTTACTAGCGTGTGAGATGAGTATGTAGTGACAATATAAATATAAAATAATATCACTTTTGAAGACTACAAAAAACTTGGCCTTATTTCAGTACATGTGCAGAGTAGGTTCTAGTCCATGCCTTCCCCCCCAACTCCCCACCCTCCGTTTCCAACCTGGACTTCCCTTCAGGCGGCCCCAGGTCATCTCTGGTGTAACTCAGCATAGGTGTGTAGCACGGAACGCCGCCAACCATGGGCCAGCTCTGGAGCTGGGTCACGTGCTGCCAGGAAAGTGTGTCCTGCCTCCTGTAGAACTGAAGCCCTCCTGGCCTCCATCCTGATTTGTTGTAACAGTTCTGTCATCTCTCCAAATCCAATGTCTAACTCCTCCTAATGCTTCACCTTCACGCTGCCAAACCAGTCTTCCTGAAACATTCTTTTCATCAAGCCCTTTACCAACCCACAAAACAAGCAGGCTCCTTATCCCTTAGAGAAGAGGTCTTTGAAAGATTTTTTATGCTCAAAACCCTTTCCTCACATAAAATATTGCAGAGACGAAATGATAGAGGGTGAGCCAGGAGCCCACCATCTCAGCCCCTCTTGTCTCCCCGATACACTCAGCCATGCAGGAGGAAACCTCTGTGGAACCGCTAGGCCCTTCCTAGCTTGGAAGAAAAGCCGCCAACCTAAGGCATCAGGTCACAGTGACTCTGCCTAGCTATCAAGGCCTCTAAGCCCCCAGTAAGGTCCCTCAGTCCTCACCAGCAGCCGCTCTCTGCTGGTCTAGTCAGTTTGCTGTTCCCTGCACATTTATTCTTCATTCTCATCACTATAGCCCCTCCTCCACTCACAGAAGCCTTCACATGCTTGACTCACACCTCTGAGGTGAGTTACACCTTCCGTTTGATGAAGCTGTCCTTCTTTCTGCCCCAGCCCAGCCTTCTTTCTTCATCTTTGAGTCCTTGGTGTACTTGCAGTCTATCATTTTCCTTCAGTGATTGCTCCAAGCCTGGTTTCCGTGGTCTCCTGTGGGGCCCCATACTTCTTCCTTGGGCCCAACTCCTCTCAGCCCAGGGCTGGTCAGAGCACAGAAGCTCTAAGGGCACCAAGGGCTGCGGGGAGGGCCCAGCATCTTCCGTTCACCAAGATTGACGTTCACCTTTCTTAAGTCCTAGATGCTCCCACGGTACATGGTTACCAAGAGCTAAGACATCAGAACAAAGACAATATGAGGAAATATCCTATCATAGAGGGTTTTGTCCCTTCAGAACCCCAAACATTTCTGCCAGGTCACACCACTTGTTGTGTACATTTATCTCAGGCAGGAAAGTGACTCCTGGGGGCCCAGTTGTTTAAATAGAAAGCAGACATCTCTGCGGACATCCCTGAGAACATAAAACCTTTTTGTAAAATGCCTCTTTTCTCAATTGACTTTTGTTTTCTAACTTGACTCAGTTACACAAATTATTTCAGACCTACCTGAAGGCCACCACTAGAGAAATGAGCAGATCTAGAGCAGCTGTTGAGTTCTTAGCACGTCTGATGTATATTTCATCTCCCCCCCAACCCCCGCATCCTCTCCGTCTCCCTCCTGCTTCCGCTTAGGTTATCATGATGGGCATCTCGTGATCCGCTGGTTCTGGGCTGCAGTGGAGCGTTTCAACAACGAGCAGAGACTCAGATTACTGCAGTTCGTCACAGGAACATCAAGTGTGCCCTACGAAGGCTTCGCAGCCCTGCGAGGAAGCAATGGGCTTCGGCGTTTCTGCATAGAGAAATGGGGGAAAATTACATCTCTCCCCAGGTATGGAGCTCCCACCCACCTTCAGGAAACCTGCTGAAGAAGGCCAAGTATGCTGTGTTATTTGAGCTTGAGCGATCATCCGTAGGGATGGAATTCTTTCCTGCTGCCCAGTGTATTGTTCTGAGTCATTAGTGAAAGGTGTGGGGGAGAAGTCTCAGGGAAATGCATTTAGGTCATACTCTTAGTCATTTTTTGATGACTGATGGTATTGGGGTTATTGGTTTCATGGTCCATGGGTCAGTCATATGTGGCCCAATTTAATTTAAAGAGGAATGTCTTGCCTGAGGGAAGGGGGATGCCCAGAGGCTTGAAGCCCAAAGTGGCCCTTCCAGCACTGAGTCTGCACTTCTGTTGTCACTGACCAAGGTTCTTGGACTCTTTAATCTATATAAATTATAGAAAGAGACTAGAAATCTATAGAAAGAGACCTGATGAGAAATTCAGGCAGAGGCTCCTGCTGTAGCATGAAGTGAGAACAAGTGACAGGTCCCTTTGCTCACTCCACCAGGGGGAGTGAGCTGGTCCCTTAAATGGCATGGGGGTGGGGGCTGATGGGTGGGGTCAGGCTGGAGCGATGGCTTACGTGGTCTGCCCACGCCCTGGTAGTACTGTGTGCTGTCCCCCACTTTTGCTCTTAGCACCTCAGAAATGGCAATTGGGTTTTGGCCTTTTTGTATCTTATTGTTCATATTTACCCCCCAGCTGTGCATATTGCAGTTATTTTTAGTTTCTTTGTGTTCTGTTGCTTGAGGAGATGTTCGTCAGGTGCAAGTATTGACGTAAATGGTCCCAGCCTGTCTCACTAGGGCATATCACTTGATACACGGGGAGTTGTGTACATATTGTGTTTTTCCACTATGTTTTAAAACATGTGCAGACAAAACCACATGTATCTTGGGTCTCTACAGTGGCTTCTATACAGTAAGCTATCAAAGAAATTATTGTGCGATAATGCAGAGAAGGAGGCATTAGAGCTCCAGGCAGTTTAACAACATCGTTTCCCTGCGCTATGAATTTTCATCCCAACACTTCCTCCATGCTTTCTGTGCCACTTTGGATGGCATATTTTCCTGCTCAGTGAAATAAGGAGCACTAAAGAGAGGCTTCTGTGTAGCTACTAAAGTCATAAATCCCGCTCAGCAAATAGAAGAAAAGATCGATCCGCATTACTCTCTTCTACTGTGATATTTTTTAATTGTAAGAGAAGATTCATATTTAATTCAGCTCTGTTTCTCCTTGGCTTCTGAGATGCTTTGCTAATCCCTTTTGTGGCAGGATTTATTGAACTATAATTTTTATCTAGCTTTCCTAGACTTTATAGCATCCTGGAGATAATTTATGATGCGCATAGGAGGCCCAGGAAACAGGGCACATGCCCAGCTGGTTAATAACAGCCTGAAGCCTTGGGGTGCTTTTCAGCCCTGTCTTCACCCAGTTAGATCAGCAGACCCTCAGTGCTCATTTGCATGGTTCTGCTGACAGCTAAGCCTCCTAAATGAAGTCTGGCAAGAAAAGCAGGCTCAGAAGGCAAGATTTCCATTTGTTGAGTTTAATGATAGGTTTGAAGTATGAGGTTCTTTGGAAGCATTTTGCTTTTACTTTAAAGATGTGAGTTTGAGTCACATCTGGTGATATCTACTCCCAGAGTGAGCACCTCGGTGTGCACGTGGACGGGGATAAGGGAGCTACACAATGCACCTGCCCAGAGGGGCTGAGTCTAGGGAGGAACAGAACCAGATGGTGAGCAGTTACAACCCCAGTTGGAATCAGAGGCGAGCAAAAAAGAGACAGTAAAAGCAGGGATGCTAGAGGTTGTAGGATGGAGACCTAATCCTGACTGAATTGACCGGAGATGTCACAGAGAAGCTGGCATTCAGATGTGCCATGAGAGGCAAGGAAGGGCAGAGGGGATTCCAGGCTAGAGCAACAGCAAGAGCAAGGCCTGGAGGTGGGAAGGCCAGCTGTGTTCAGGAAGGAGCGCCAAGCAGGCATGGAAGACAAGGTGTCTAACATGACATTTGCAGGGGACATGGTGGAGAGAGCAAGTTTGGTGGGCCACAGAGAGAAGACCCCATTGAGGAGTCTGTACTATTATTTAGGAAACAGAAGTCGTTGCTTTTGTCACTGAGGTCAGAAATTGAGTTTAATTACATATATGCTCTGGGAAGCTTTGAAATTTGTATTAATCCTATCAACACACACAGAGAACTAATAGAGTGGGCATCAGCCTATGAAAAGGAGATGGCAGCCCACTCTAGTACTCTTGCCTGGAAAATCCCAGGGACAGAGGAGTCTGACAGGCTACAGTCTATGGGGTCTCAAAAGAGTCAGACATTATGCAACAAGAACAACACTGACCTTCTGAACAGGCTCTGCACATCTGGGCTAAGGCATCCCTAAAAAAGTTGCTGCGCTTGAGCCCCAGAGAGGGTTCCTGGGGGAAGCAGGGTCTTCATCCTGGGGCAAAAGGGCCCTAGGAAGTGCTGAGAGGCCTCCAAGAGGACAGTGAAAATGACCCTCTGAGTATGAACCCCCAACTAGTCTCTTGTATCTTCTGAAGATTCAGGAACCTGGAAAATGTCACCTAGGGTGGAGAGAAAGAAATAGCCTCTGAATTCCTAGAATGGTAGTTCAGAAAGACCTGGCCAGGCCATGTGGCAGGTGGCAAAAGCCCAGGCAAGCAGGAGAGCCAAGCACCCACGGGGTGATCCAGGGCTCTCCAGAGACTGTGAGCCTCATGTGCACTGCCCGCACTCTGAGGAGAGATATTCTAGGCTGCCTTCTCCTCAGATCTTCCCTCCAGACAGGCAGCTGGCCTCCTAGATGAGGGAGCCAAATAGCGTCACACAAAGCCGTGCATCAGTCCAAGTCCTTGCCCTCTAGAGTGTGTGGGAGTTAGAACAAAGACTCTGCGGCAGGGTTTATAGTTTTACAGAGCCTGGTGAAGAAACTTCATAAATCACCATCACTGGAGCATAGGCGGGGTGAGATGGTCACTGGGGCTAAGGGCAAGGAGCTGGCAGGCCAGGGCTCTGAACAGTCAGCCATGTGGACTCAGAAACTACACAGTATGGTGGGAAGATCTGAAGTGGAAAACATTTAAGCCAGTTACCAGAAATGTTAACAAATGTGTTCCTCAGGAGGTCAGAAGGTGTGGAAGGTAGATCTAGATCACTGATGGTCAAACGTGCTTCACACAGAGAGAGGGTCCCTTTATGTCCCAACCTAGTAAAAGCAGGCATACTCCTGAGTATGTATCTGAAATACTAGTTCTTCAAAACAGTTGATGTTTAGTCGTTAAGTCGTGTCTGACTCTTTTGCAAACCCTTGGACTGTAACCCATCAGGCTCCTCTGTCCATGGGGTTTTCCAGGCAAGAATACTGGAGTGGGTTGCCATTTCCTTCTCCAGGGGATCTTCCTGACCCAGGGATTGAGCCCACATCTCCTGCATTGGCAGGCAGATTCTTTACCACTGAACCACTGTACCTCATCCTTATTATCTATAGGTAGTACTCTCTATTTTCTACCCTGTCCTATTTGTTAAAATAAAATGCCAAACAAAACCTGCAGTTTGAAGAAAAAATTTACCTAAACAGCATGAGATTCAGGGGAGCAGAAATTTTTGATCAAAAATTGAAAAGTAATGATCTAGAATATGCAGCCAGGTGGAAAATGGCTGTCTCCACTCATGAGGGCTGAGAACGCTAGGGCTTGTAGGCCAGACCAAGAGATGGGAGAGTTTCCTCACTGTGAAACTTGGAAAGGACAAGCTTGGAAGGAAAGAAGACTTGGGAGCTGGTCAGGGTAGACACAGCACAGGCAGTTTGGAAATAGAGTAAAGGAGAGGACAAAAGCTTAGGGGGCTACATTTCAAGCATGGACAAGAAAACCAGAATTGTGAGTCAGGGGCAGGTGAACTGTACTAAGATTCTAATAGGAACATGTTTCCCTGCAGGGGTAAACTGAGCCCAAGCCCAGGATGTCGGTGGAGACCTGGTTTTGGCTTACTCTATAGCGATGGTTTGCAAGGGTGGAGGCAGGAAAGGTGATTTTGTCTCCCCAGGGGACATTTAGCAATGTCCGGAGACATTTTTGGTTTTTGGGTGGGGGTTCTTCTGGCCTCTGTCAGGGAGAGGCCAAGGATGCTGCTAAACACCTACAGGACACAGGACAGTCCCTCCTAGTGAAAAGTCATCAAGATCCAAGTATCCGTGGTGCCTCAAGCCCTGCTCTCTAGGCTGACGGGCTACAAAGGAGGCATGAGGGAGCCATTGGGAGTCCCTGTGAGAAACTGACAGCCACTGAGAAATTGTCCAGAAGTCAAGGGAGAGAGATGTTCGTAGGAAGAGCTGTCAAATGCTTTCAATGAGCTTGGGGAGGTGGGCATAGAGAATGCACCTCCGGATGGGGGAATCAAGAGGTTATTGACAAATTTGGAAAAGAGTAGATTTAGCAGTGATAGAGTAAGAACCTGCCTGGTGACTGAAGCTGTAGTTGGGAAGTGGAAGAAGATGACATGAAAAGGAGACATGGGGACTTCTCTAAGCATTCTAGTGCTTAAGACTCCACACTTCCACTGCAGGGGACATGAGTTCGATCCCTGGTCAGGAAAGTAAGGTCCTGAAAGCCAGGTGGTGTGGCCAGAAAAGGGAAAAAAAAGCAAAAAAGACACAACTTAAATAACTGACCTCACAACTGGCTATACAGCCAGCTACATGGGTAGTGACGCTGCCCCTTTTTGTTATAATATTTACTCTGAACCAACCTTAAAATGGTCTCTACTGCAGAGAAGCAAGACTGACTTCAGCCCTATCTTGGTTCACATTTTGATAAAAAACTTGGAAAACATTGAGGAGACAGGGAGATGAATTGTGTAGATGACATGGATTAGAAGTATCACAGATAATACTGTGATGGATTACAATCCAAATCCAGCATGATCTCAAAATGCTGGAACCCCAAAATAATACCAGCAGAGTGCAGTTTGACCCAGCACAACTGATCAGATCCAATGGAGTTCCAAAATGTCAGCTGCACAAATATGAGATGAGGACAATTCATTTGCCAGCAGGCAGGTGGAAAAAGCCAAGAGTCTGAAGTCCTCACAAGGGGGACATGGTTCCTAAAATCATGAGTGCAACTGTGTTTGCATTATTAAGAAACTCTGATGCTTAAATGATGATTCATGGTTTACGAAAGGCACTTGTGTGTACTCTTTTCTCACACCAACCCTCTGATGTGCACACGACGCATGTATTATTACCCCATTTTACAAGTGAGAAAACTGAGGCCCACAAAAATTCATTGACTTTCCCAAGGCTGTAAAACTAGTCAGTGACTGGACTGTGATCAGAATAGAGGCCTTCCAAAGTCTGGTTCTGTGCTCCCTCCATGCCCCATCTCACCTGAGAGCACGAGGTCCAGTGCCCAGGGAATGATGTGCTCAGGTCCTTGATGCTGTCAGGACCACATAGAGGGTAATGAGGACTTAGGAATGTGGAATCCGATCGTGATTGGATGATGTTTATTCATTCTAGATTACTGACTGAGATGTATCAATATCTAAGATCTAATCAAGGCTATGGATGAATGCAGTGAGAGCAGCTCTTGTTCAGACTAGGTCTTAAAGAGGTTCCATTTGCTAAAGTTTCAGTTTATTCCCAGAAATTAACTTTTATAGAATCAATCTGATCCCAACTGTTTTTTAAATAGATGATTCTTTTTCTGTATTACTTCCACTCATGAGTGATAGTTAAAATGACCAGATAAAGAAAACCAAGAAGATGCTGTCTGCCCGTATCCTGTCCCTGGCTTTTAGAATTCAGCCAGTTTTAAAAGCACTCTTGGCATTTTTCTGTCCCTCTTAACTTAGCTGGGCTTCCCTAGTGGCTCAGTTGGTAAAGAATCTGCCTATAATGTTGGAGACCCAGGTTCGAGCCCTGGGTTGGGAAGATCCCCTGGAGAAGGGAATGGCTACCCACTCCAGTATGCTTGCCTGGGAAATCCCATGGACAGAGGAGCCTGGGCAGAGGGCTACAGTCCATGGGTCACAAGAATCAGACCTGACTTAGCAACTAAAGCACCACCACCACCACCAATTTAGTTGATTAGCAGGGTAAAGTCCTGGTCCACACATTGGCACATGGCAGGGGAAGCCATTCTTCATCTAGGCCAGACACTGGCCCACAGAGATGGGCCTGTAGGATGACGAACATGACAAAATAAGCAGAATCCAGGGCAAGTGGTTCTAGGATGCTGCTGGCCCCCAGGAAGGAGTATCCCACAAATGCAGCTGTTCTTGGAAATGCAGCATCTTTGCTCCAGGTTACACAAGCCCCACTGTGAACTGTAAAGGAGTCAGACTATCTCCAAGACACACCTGCCTTGATGGAGCATTGGATCTCACAGTTCCAGGGTGTCCATTGGCACCTCTAAGTCAATGCACAGAGTTTACAGAGGCCCAGAAATCAGAGTCGGGCAGGAAGACTTGGGAATATGACTCTAACACTAATTATGTTTTCTGCCTCCTTCACTGACCACATCCGGCTTCATCTCTCAATTGTAGAACGTCACTGGTTTGCTAGTACTGTGCTAGTATAGTGTGGTTTGCTTCCAAATGCAGACTCCCCCAGGTCTAGGTATTCTAGTCCCATAACTGTTCTGTTTGCATCTGGAAGGCTGTGGTTCTTTGCAGCGTGTGCGTGGTGGTGCTAAAACACAGGTCCACTCCCTTTTGGTTCACTTTTTGACTCACAGACTCAGATTGACTGCGGAACAAGCCACGCCAGTTGTACCAGTGAAACAAACACCTTGACCAGCCTTTTCTTCCCTATTCAGGGCACACACATGCTTCAATCGCCTGGATCTCCCGCCTTATCCCTCGTACTCCATGTTGTATGAGAAGCTGTTAACGGCAGTAGAAGAAACCAGCACCTTTGGACTTGAATGAGAAACTGGCAACTTCCCTGACATTTTCCTGGCCAGTGACATCATCCTTTCCCTTTCCCCGAATCAAGTCTCCTTTGATTTTGGTATTCTGTGATTTTCCTTTTCAAACCAAATCAGGATTGATGAGCTGTGCATGAAGAATTGCCTTCTTCTAAGATCTAACCTTCAGGCTTATCTCCTCTACGTTCAATGAACTGCTAGCCTGTATGCAATATTTAAAAAAACAGCTGTCTCAAGGTCTGTGTATATCTCCACATACCTCCATTACTAACAATGAAATATGAATGCAAGTTATGCTACACTTGACCAAATGGTAATAAATGTTTACTTCCATTTCTATGATTTAAGGGGAAATTTGAGCATTAAGCATTCCAAGCTTTTCTACACCCATGTCTTCTGAGCAGAACCACCATTTTTTTTTTTTATAATTTCTAACAACCAACTTCAGAATAGGAGCTGATCAACTCTTTCTTTTCTTCCCTTCCCATTCTACTTTTCCCTGGGCATCCAATCCATCCAAAAACAGCAGTGGCTAAACTGAAATTTTGATATATTCAACTCATGATTTGTATGTGTCATCGGCCCCATCAGCTGGAACTAGCCTAGACATATGGTGCAAATATCACACTTTCCAACCAATAATAACAGCAAGAAAAACACCTCCTGCTGATGCAATGCAGGGCATCCCAATGGTTGTGGGGATTATGGTTCGACTTGAGTTCAGAGAAGTCTGGGGGTGGGGACACACCCCCTGTGAACACCCACCACCCAAGAAGCACAAACTTGTGCACACATCCAAGAAGGAGATCGCATTATGTAGCATAAACAACGAGGCTTCTACCCCCATGATGTTGTATAGAAGTGTTGAAGCAAACAGGAGAAAGGGGGAAAGGACATCAGGACGATTTAGAAGGACATATTCAGTTGCTCTGAATACCTGGGTTCTGTACAGTTTTATTTTGCTTTGTTTGATCACAGGTCTCTTTCCCAAAGGAAAAAAAAAAATGTCCTGATAATCTCATGACTTCTGTTCAAGCCAAGTAATTGCTTGTTTGGCAAACAGACTTTTATTTCAACTTTGATAGTGTTTTTATTTTTCATGTTTACTTTTCAGTTTTTCTTCACCATGGTGTTCAAATTCCTTCACATATGATTGTCCACAGGGACCACACTAAATCAGAAGCTGCAGAGAGCGATGGTGCTTGTTAGGGATCAAGGGCAAAATAATACATCTCCTTCCTCCATAGCAATCCTCCTGGAGCAGAGACCTAACCCCCCAAAGGCACACCGATTTGTGTCAAATAGGGATCCAGTTTCCTTTAGCATTCAGTAAAGAGATGTCTCAGTAAACATGGTGTTTCAGAGTAACAGTTGCAGGCTCCAGAAACAGCCTGACCTCTTGATTACGTTTGGAAGAAACCCAAACATGATGGTCATTTGCTATTTTTCTAATGTTGTTATCCATGTCGTCTGAAATATGTTGTAAAAGAAAGTGTTTTTCTTCACTGGGAAAAGAAATGTTGAAATGTTACATTGTTGTCCTTCAATATATATTTAACAAGGGGAAAATGTGAGAAACATGGGCAAGTTAACTTCATTTGGAGCCATGTCTTGTGTTCATGTGGGTTTGTGTCCAGACAATGCATCAATTGTGTTCCCTGCCCTCTTTAAGGAAACATTCCTTTAGTAGGAATTAGAATGCCCAGCACCCCTTGCTGCTGTGTACCTGTGGTCCATCAAGGAATATGTATGTTGCAGAAATCTGGCCTTCTGTTGTTGTCTACAAAGAATATTTACTGACATTGGATGATGAAATGTGTAAGTTCCATAATGCAGAATCTAAGGGATCTGTATAATTCAGGACACATCTCAGCATCTGAAAAGTCATGGATTCCAGTGGAGCTATTATTTATGAAATCAGGACATAAGGATGATGCAAATCATTTCACCATCCTATATAGAATAGTATCTTTAGTAAAGGGAGCATCTTTCATTTTTAGGACTTGGTGTTAGATATATGTAAATACTTGTTAATTCAAGCATTCAGTTCTTTTTTTTAGGACTCATATGTTAGGCTTTGGCAAGAGAGAAAGCTGTTCCAAAATGGAACCTGTTCCCAGGAATCTTCACAATTTACATAAATATCTAATTAAGCTGTTAATAGATTAACTGATGTCTATTCTCCCCAGTACAGAAGGAACAAGGTGTCCTAGAAGATATATATAGATAGAAAACTTAGACATGAATGGTTTTCAACTAATTTCTCCTTATTCCTACTGCCCTGCGCAATGCCATGGTTCAGATATATCCCAGAAGCATTACTGGAACAGTATTTCATAAGAGTATGAAATTCCAGAAAGAAATACTGGTGTCAGAGTCCCTGAAAGACTGTGAAGTGTGCTTAGTAGGGTCCCAGTTTCCCTTACAGCCTTGCACAGACTCCCTGAGTAAGGAAGACAAAGACGACAGACAGTTGTTATGGAAAGATCTTTATTTCTCTTTGTTCCAGATTATGTTTCTTTACTTAGTATATGTATAACATAATATATATATACATATGTAATTACATGTATAACAAAACAGCTATATGACTCAATTATGCTCTTAATTTTACCATATGGAGGTGCAAACCACCTCAAATCATATAATTCATAATGAGCAAGATAGAGCTCACCCATTTGTTACCATGTATAATTTATTTTTAAAGTATTTATTTTCTCCATGGAGGCACATTATAAAATTGATCACTTTTGAACCACGCTTTCCCTAAAACAAGATCTTTTAGAGCTAGTTTTAGTAAGAGTATATTACCTTTAATTGGGGGACAAAAAAAAGTAAATAAGAGAACACTTATGTGTCAATTTGAAAAATGCTTCGAAAATACTATGAAGTATTATAATAATTTTGTGTATATTCCATTTTATTCTATTATATGCAAATGATAATCTAAAAATAGAAATGGACTCTGCAGAGTCAAGAGAAGTACTATAAAGCTACTGATTTCTTTGTAATTCCTGTGTCTATAAGTTGACCGTGGTTGTGAAAGTTTTTTACTACCATCACAATTGTCATTCAAAGAGAAAATTAAGACAAAGGGGTATACAATTTGTTGGCAGGCTTTAAATATACAGAATCTCGATCGTTTTCTCTTCTAACACATGATCATATGTCATTTAACAGTAAGTGCATTTGTATGACCAGCCCACAAGCTGGACCTTCCAGAACAGTTCTGATGTTAGATCTGTGGCACCATCAGTCCATGTGTCAAATCACGTGTCCCAAATTTGGGTTCAGAAAATTTCTCAGTTGCCACAAATGTTTTCCCAGTCAAGGTAAAACACTTTCAAATGAAAGTAGTTAGAACTTTACATAACAAATGTGGTGCTTTATTATTATTATTACTATTATGTACTTCAGTGTTCATTCTTAAAACTACTGCAATACTATATCATCAAAGTCTGGGATGGATGTTCCAACCATCATAAGGTCCAAAAGAGAACGTGTTATTTTCCTGTTAGTGACATGTAGTCCCTTTGTTCTAGTAGAAAAAAAAAAAAAAGGTGCCTAGAGGTAGTATTTAGAGTAAATATTGTTCCATTAGCCTACTTCCTGCAGCTTCCAATTTACCTAAAGAAATGTCTATAATGATTTTGTTCAAGTCTTTGTTCTAGACAATAGCAGGAGAAGTCCTTGTTCTTGGGCTGATTTTGCTTTCATCGACAAGAGAAATGTCACGTAATACTCAGGCCGAGCTTTCTCTTCCATCCTACCACCTTCAAGGAATGTCAATAAACACTTTGGTATGGCATTGTGTGTGCTCCTTATTGCAAACAGAAGGCTAGGGTCAAGCACAGAAGTTTGTATCATGCCTCTGCTCTCGTTGAGTATAGGCAATAAAACAACACAGAAGACTACCAGCTGCTATGGTAAGTACTCCCCTGGGAAAATTATTTATCAAACAAGCATAATAATATGCTCACAAGCGCAGGTTTTGTAACAAATTCCTGGTGTATGCCATTTAGAATGGCACACAGAGTGAAATTAAGGAGTGACCTTTCTGTTGAACCAGGCATCCACTGGCTTGTTGATTCCCTACCTGTTGAGATGCTTCTACCAAAGCTTCAGGCCACAGCCTGACACCTGGTGTGACCCCAGGACAAAGTTTAGCTGTAGACAAAAATGTTGTGTCCAGTGGCATATACCATGACTCCCAATACCACAGTGATGTTCTCTTTTTATCTCCTTCCAAATTTCTAAAAGAAAACCATGTGACTCTCACTGGGTGGTCAGAAGTTGATTTATTCTTTGAGGAAAATATGTTTTATTCTTAGAAAAAATTATGGGTAGAATTAAGAAAAGGAAAAACCTGAGAGATCTCGTATTGTTTTTATACCCATGCTGGGTTTATGTTAGACTCATTCAAATTGAAAATAACTTTTCTCTTAAGAAAAAAAATTAGCCTAGACCATCATTGACAAAGAGGGGTAGATGATATTATTTTGTGTTTCAATCTTACCATTATTCTGAAATCAAGATTAAATTTCAGCTCTCCTGATTTCTATGACCATACCTTTCCAATACACTGTGCTGATAATTCATTATTATATACTGTAAAAACAAAACAAAAAAAAAACCTTGACACACAAAGCTTATACTCAAGATGTGGTTTAAATATAGAGGACTCTTCTCTAACAGAATAAATGGAGTTACAGGAAGTTAGGATCACCTTTATCAGTGCGGTAGGAATCACGTTTATAGCTGGGGACAGACACTTAGATACTTTCGTCTGTCTAGTTTATCTTGGAAACAAGGAATAGAGACCAGGAGAGGTGATCTGCTCAAGCCACTAAGCTTTATCTTGGGAACAGAAGTTATGCCCTGTCACAAAATATCCCTTGGGGTCCTGGGCTTCTGAAGCTAGCATAACTCTTCAGAAATTTGCCAGGAAAATAGAAGAAACAGAACCAAAATCTACCATAGTGGATGTCAGGAATCCACAACCAGTGAGTATTCACCTGCTATATGAGTTTGCTGGGGCTACTATAACAGGATTACAATCGAGCGGCTTAAACATGGTTAGAAGTCCAAGAGCAAGGTGATGGTGGGGTGGTTGCTTCTGAGGCTGAGAGAGAGATTTTGTCCCATCCCTCTCTTCCAGATTCCAGTGGTTTGCTGGCACTCTTTGTGTTCCTTGGCTTGGAGATCTCTGCCTTCATCCTCGGGTGATGTTCTCCACTTCTGTGTGTTTGTGTGTGTCTGTGTGTCTGTGTTTTAATTTTCCTTTTATATAAGGACACCAGCCATATTGGCTTACAGCCCACCCTGTGATCTCATTTTTTAAACTTGATTACGTTTATAAAGACCCTAACTCCAAATAAGGTCATATTCTGAGGTACCTGAAGTTAGGACCCCAGTCAGCTCCTTTGGAGGACACAATTCAATCTATACCATCCTCCTTCCTGCCACATTAATTGCTGTCATCAGTCCCAACAGTAACAGTAATAATAAATAAAGGCTAGCATATTTAGAACCATGTGATTCACCATCAGTTTACTAAAAGCTTTTTAATTGCAATGATAATCATGGAAGAAACAAAATTGTTACCTATAAATTACTACTATTTAAAATAGTTTAATATAATCAACTGTATTTCAATTTAAAATTTTTTAATGAAAATGAGTGATTAAATTCTATTGGTCCCTTGCAGCTAAATACTTATTGTTTTTGCTTTTCACAGAAGTAAACATTAAAACATTTTTATGGTCATTTTGCAGTATTTAAATAGAAGTACCTTATCTATAATATAAAATAAAATAGCTTAATATAGCAAATCAATGATTAATATTACAGAAAATTCCCTGGTGGTCCAGTGGTTAGGACTCTGTAGTTTCGTTGCTGAGGGCCTGAATTCAGTCCCTGGTTGGGGAACTAAGATCCTACAAGCTGCAAGATGTGGCCAATAATTAAATAAACATCAAATATCCACTTTTTTTAAAGAAAATTAATATCATAGTATTTGTTTAATCAATGGACTATGAAGATAACTGGGATCACAATAAATTTTTCACTACTTAAAAAAAAAAAACCCAACTGGTACTTTTCATATATTATCCTAGCTATAGTATAGGATCCTATAATATCCTAGCTTTTCATATTATTATCCTAGTAAATGTATAGCCAAGATTTGAACAAGGAGCCTGACTTCCGAGTCTAAGTACTCAGCCACCCATACCCATTGCCTTCATTCCTTTAAGTATTTTTTAAATATTTGTTACACCCTGGGCCCTGTTCTCAGGAGTCTTTGCCCTCAGGGAGTCCATGGCCCAACCTATGACACTGCATTCTTCCCCTTTGTTTGAAATTTGGCCCCTGTTTTTAATATGTACAGCCCCTCTCCCACTCACCACCCCAACTCTTGTGTAAGATGTGATGTCATTGTAAAATAATGATAATAAATAAACAAAATGCTATGGGGAAAGTGAACAGGAGCCATTGGCTGTTTTCTGCTGGAGAGAAAAGACAGACAAAAATGTGTTTATAATTGAGACAAGATTTGAGCATGTATAAAATTGGGAAAAGTGACTTAAGTTTATCACCAAGAAGGAAACACGTTGTTTTTACTGAAACAGTAAACAGAGAAGGACCTAGAAGTGAGTAAATCAGCCTTAAAACCTTCTCATTTTGAAGACCTGGGAGAACATAGATACAAAGACATTTTTTTAAAGTGTCTAGAACCTCCTAGTGTCAAAACTTGTTTCATTAGGCATCTCCCAGGATGCCCAAGAACTTGTATTTCTTTTCATTTTATTCCAAGGAGTGTACATTACAGTTTTCATTTTGCCATTATAGTTATCTAATTTCTATTTTCTTTTTTGTATTGAAGTATAGTTGATTTACAATATTGTGCTACTTATTACTTTTTAAATGTATTAAAAGTTGGGTCATGACTTTTACCCAAACTTTTATATTTGTCCATGAAAAAAGCTTCTCTTCTTTCAAGCTTATTCAGTACAATAGGGAGTATCTGTTTTCTAAGATTATAGTATTATCATAAAATGGCCTCAATTCCTCACTTATAGCCACAGCCTTTACTATACCTACAACTCAGCTATCACCTCCTGCAGGGAGCCAAGCATTCTAAATTCTAACCCACCTGTTTTGGCCAGCTTACTGCAAACAGAGGCTTATACAGCACTTGCAGAATTGAGCTTGACCTCTCTTTTTCTTTCTTGCTGCTCTCCTGTCCTGAGGAGTGTATGCCTGGTATAAGAGGAGAGTAATAGACACAGGGAGCACAGCTGAGACCAGGCGAGACAACCAACAGCCAGTCAGTCCCCAAGTATTTGGGCAAACTCAGCCAAGATCATGAAAGCCACCCAGCCAAACTCCAGCTGAGACATGATTATATGCCAGTGGCATTTTATGATTGTTGTACATCATTATGATGGCGATAGATAACTAATTCAAAGATCATTAGGCCTCCTTTCTTTACTGGGATAACTTTTGAAACCAAGTACTGAAAGTTTAGTTTAACCTTTCGAGTGAGTCCACTATGCCTGGACTGTTTAATATGTGGCCACTGTTTAATTCGAATTAATAATGATGCTGAAGTGAGAAGAGAAATCAGCAGATTTATATGAGCTCATCAACAACAAAATATAAAAAATGTGAGGAACTCCACAGCCAGATAGAACAAACAAGGAGAACTTAAAATGATACTGCAATCTAAAAGGTGTTAAGTAATTACTTCTAAATGTTCAGACAGACAGAGAAAGTATAGAATATATAAATCAGGACAGAAAATCATAAACTTTGAGAAGCCAGGTAAGAAAAGAACAATACTGTGCCTTTTTCTGTTTTTTTTTTTTTAATTCTTTAAGCATTTAACTTGTAGGAAAATGTGCATCACCTCACAATATTTGATAGATACTGCTTCTAAACTAAGTGAATCTATATTTTTCATACGTTTATAAAATGTAGTTTTGTCATAATTGTATGATAAAAGCAAATATTGCTCAGTTGATGTTTTTAAAATATTTATTTATTTGGTTGCGCTGGGTCTTAGTTGCAGCGCGTGGGATCTAGTTCTCTGATCAGGGGTCGAACCTGGGCCCCCTGTGTTGGGAGTGAGGAGTCTTAGCCACTGGACCACCAGGGAAATCCCAGTTGATTTTTATTTTGTAGATTAAACTATTAGGTTGAGGTAAGAACTCTGAACTTCTACCCTGAGAATGCTGAGCCCCAAAAAGTTGATGTGTAAGTGCTTATTCAGTGTCATTCAAATCTGTTTTTGTTATAAGAAGTAGAGTTTGTTTCCTTGGTATAGAAACATACACACACACATAAATGTGATTTGATTTGTTAACTATTATTATTTGTTTTGGTCCATTTTAGAAATAATTTATAAATCAAAATTCTTTGAATTTGTAATTCAGTAAGCTTCATTTATTTTGAGTCTGTGTATTATGAATATGTAAGTTAATGACAGTTGGGTCTCCTTGGTGGCTTATTTATTTTACAAATATGTAATGACCTTCTTACTCCCCAACAATATTTACCTGCAATTTTGTTCTCTTCATTTTAAAGAGTTCTTAAGGATTTTATGGATAATCCATATCCTACCTATTGTGTGGATACCCATAAAATCTTTTATCCAGAAAATATGCATTCTTCCCAAGTACAAAAGACTGTTCCTAAATAAAGACTACAAACAACTCAATGAATGCCAAAGAAGTCATACTCCTACATTCTTCAGACACAATGCAATGCAATTAGAAGACAATAGTTTTAAAAGTTATTTATTATAGG